TAGTGAATGTAAAATGGTACAGCTGTTATGGAAAAATTTAGTGGTTGCTCAAAGCTAAACATAGAATTGCCATATGACCCAGCAATTCCACTCCTAAGTATATACCCAAAAGAAGTGAAAGCAGGGACTCAGATATATATACACCAGTGCTCATTGTAGCATTATTCACAATAGCCAAAAGGTGGAAATAACCCAAGTGTCCATCGACAGAGAAATGGATACAATGTGGTATATACATACAATGGATGATTAAGTCATATACAGAAATAAGGTTTTCGTACATGCTACAATATGCATAAACTGAAAACATTATGCTACGTGAAATAAGCCAGATGCAAAAGGACAAATATTACATGATTTCATTTATAAGTGAAATATCTAAAATAGGCAAACTCATAGAAGACAGAAAATAGATTAGAGGCTATCAGAGGCTGGAAATCTCCCTTTTCCATCATATACAAAAGAAAGACTAAGAAGAGAGAAGGTGTCAAGAGTCCTTAGGAATATAGTCCAATGTTTGTAATGGGAGGGTACTCCCTCCCCTCTTTCTTTATCCTTAACTCCAAAACCAAGTGGGTGGGCAGGTAAGGCTCCAAGAGAATCAATCACTCAGCCGGATTTGGGGGTAAATGTAATAAAGGGAGATTGGTGTCTCCTTTCCTGGCTGAATGACAGATGTGTTGCAGAAACCTACAAGTCACTCAGGTAAGGGAATTCTTGGGAAAATCTTACATATCATATCCTAGGGTTTAGGGAGCATGTGAATACTATATGGTATCCACTTCGTAACTGAAAATTTCTGAAGGAGATAAGCTTACTGGAATAGCACAACAAAAGAACTATGGTATAATATGCCCAGTTCTTTTCAGCCCATGAGGGGCATGAAAGAGAACCCCGGCCGTTACCATGGCTCCATATGAAAGGCCACAAAAGTTAGGTCAGAAGGCAAGAGATAACAAGTTAGGGGATATCTCATCTTGAGAGAGGATTCAAGGCACGTATGGCTAACAGCAGCCAATGGGAGACACAGCCCCTCCGTGATGAAGGGACAAGAAGGCTAAACACTGCCTCCCCAAAAATATACACACCATTTATGAGGCCACTAGCAGAAGATGTTACTAGATTAAACCAAGATGAGGGATATCTCTCCATCACTGACAGGCAACCAGTTGGTAAGATCTTTGCCTCACCTATCCCATCCTCCCTACCCCAACTCTGAAGGAGTTAGACCCAGAAGAAGGAAGCAGACACCCTCCTCACTCCTCACCCCCTACCCAAAGGTGCTGGGATACAAAGAGAGTGAAAAGAGCAGACTATACCCTCTCTACTCATTTCAGATCCCTCAAGACACAGGTCTGACCTGTGATAGGGCCAGAATATGGCTTTGAAATGGATTTGAGACCAGAGTTTAAAACTGGACCAGACAAACTTTTAATAACTAGAAGTCACCAGAAAGCTATGGGATCTGTCCACGATGCTGCTAAGGGATCAACCATGCAACATGGAAAAAAGATTTGGTGGAGCACAGTTAAAAGAAGTCATTTGGAAAAACCAAACAGGAAGTATTTGCACCTCTACTGAGTGGAATTTCCCCAGTAAACTCTATACATAGACAGATTCAGAAAGGGAACCAATAACAGAAATTTCTGTAGGATTAGGACATTTAACAACAGAGCACAAAGCCTGGAAGGGGCTTTAGAAATTATCAAATCAAATCTGCTCATTTTACAGATTGGAAACTAGGCTCCCCTAAGAAGTGCAAGATCTAAAAAGACAGAAGTGGTGTTGGGACAAGAATTCAAATCTCTCAATTCTCACTCATATTGTCTATTCCCTATGCCACACTACCTCCCAGGGAGTGACATAAGGAAAACAGTTTTGAGAATATTATTCTAACAGTACTTTGCAGGTCGGACTAGGAAAGGAAAGACTGGAGGCAGGGAGACTAATTGGGAGGGAACAGCAGTAACTAAAACAAGTAAGTTATGATAATTTGGTAATTCTTATGGTTGAGAATAAGTTACAACAGGCATCAGATAAAAAAACATTCCAACTTTTAATGACTCATTTGGTGGTACCTTAAGCTATTAACTGGCAAACAGGAACAGAACCTTCCTACTCACAAAGCTATAAGGGAGAGAAAAATAAAATTTACCTTATTACATCGTCTGATGTTAACAGCACTATGTGGGGATCCAGCATTTCACTTGGATACCAGGCAGCATGCTTTAGAGTCAGACACGTAGAACTGGTGAAAAATCTCTCAGCAATTGGAGTGGTACTAAAACAAAGACAACAATTTTCCAAACCATTTTGTAGAACTTGAATGAAAAGTTTTCTAAAGGGAAATCTACTTAAACACCCTGTGTTCTTTCCTTTAAATTTCTTTCTCTTAAATTTTGCTGAGATAACATTAAAACATCTATTCAATCAATACCAAAAAATCAAAATACTGCAAAAATATTTTCTAAATTAGAGTATAAGTATTTTACTAACGTTTTTAGACATGACATCTTATTTGGTGCTTTTAATAACCTTATGAGGAAAGTAGGAGGGCAGATATTATTATTCCTATTTTGGAGATGAAGAAACACATTTAAAAAAGAAACAGTTTAAGGGGAGCCAACCTAACAGCTGTAGAGCTAAACTTGAACCTGGGTTTCTACCTTATACTCCTTTCAGTAGATCTTTCAGATTCACACGTTTCTGGGTTTGTTGACAAAGAAAACAATATAAAAATAAAACCTAGATAAACTTATGAACAAACTTTCTGACTCACAGATAACTGCTTTTAAAATTCTTATTTCTACCTAACTGAAAAATCTGCCTGACTTTCAATGTGATAACTCACAGAAATAAAAGTATAATTATACATATACTATAAACATCATTATCACAAGAAGCCATAGAAGCCCTGGAGGCGCAATGGTGAAGCACTTGGCTGCTAACCTAAAGTTCGGTGGTTTGAACCCACCAGTGGCTCCGCAGAAGGAAAGACCTGCCCATCTGCTCCCATAAAGATTACAGCCTAAGAAACCCTACGTGGCAGTTTTACTCTGTCATATAGGGTCGCTAAGTGTCATAATTGACTAGATTGCACACAACAATGTTTCAACGGTAGCATAGTATCAAGACTTACTGGTCTTGAACAATTTTCTGCATGTAGTACAAATTATACAGACAAACACTAAATGGAAATACAACTTACCTACAATTCACTGTTGATTTTCCACCTTCAAATTCAGAATTCTTCCCCCACCTTTTAGGTAATTCTAATACCATAAGTCCTTTTAGTCCTATAAGTGCTACATGATGTTGTGTTGGACTTAACAAGACTTGATAGATTTCAAACAGGGGTGGATTTATACAAAGTAGTCTCTGGAAATTAAAGCACACTGGTCAAAATAGTTCGTTTTAATGTAAACATATTCAGCAGTTATTCAAAAGCATACTAATGCTTTTTCTGTAACTGTAAGATAATGAAGCATTCTGGATAAATACTAATACTTGACCCATTAACTGGTGAAATATTTTTAACCATTTAGATTGTAATGTTATATAAAATGCATCAGACTTCCCTACCTTGAGAAACAGGGAATAGTACACGTTTTCTTTTAATGATCAAGCTCCAGCCTACTACTCCAGTCTCAACTGTCCACCATTCCCCACTTATACCTTATAATTAAAATCAGTTAACTTGTATTTCTGGGAAATCATCACGCTTTGTTATGTCTGTGTCTTTATTCTTCCTGGAATGCCCTCATTTTCCTTTTACAGCTGGCTAACAAGACTTACACATTCTTGAGACTCGGCTTCTATGTACCTTCCCCCCCAATAAAACACCCCTGATCTTCAGGTCAGGGTTGAGTGCACTTTCTAGGTACTCCTGAGCTCGGCTGCTAACCAA